AAAAAAAAAAAAAATGTATAAGCCACAAACAGACTATGGGCCATTTTCTTGTTCACAGTTGTGTCCCCAATGCCTAGAACAGTACCTGGCACATAGTAGGTACTCATTACAAATTGGTCAAAGGAATGAATATAACAATAGAAGGTTAGATGGTTTGGGCAACTAGGTGATCTCTTAGAGGTTAGGTTTATATGCAGGGGTAAGTAGATAGTGGTACTTAAACTGAGATTCAGAAAGTAGAAAAATGGGTGTCAGAAAAGAATGATCCCAGTGTAGATATCCAGATACTGGGAGATCCTAGGTGATGGGATTTGTTATGGGGTAATTGGAACTCAACCTCCAGGGGTGGTGGATCCAGGCAGTCCATAGCTTCTCCAAGAGAATTTCAGATGGGAAGAGGTCAGAGAATGTCCCCCAGCTGATGCTGTCTTCCACCTCAAGTCAGCTCCCTGCCAGGACTTGGCCAGAGTGTCACACTTCCTGATAGGGTTGTCTTTCCAGAGAGATGCCTGTATTTTTGGCTCATTAGCAGTTAATGATCAAGCCCTTCCTGCCTAGTGCCCAGCTCTCCCCACTTTTCCAGGAGTCCTGACTGTCCGAGACCCCATTTCTACTGTAGGAAACTCTTAGCAGGTCTTCCCACGGTCCCCTTGGTTAGTGAGATTCCAGACAGCCATGGCAATAGTCATCCTCTCTCTGGGAAAGGGCTCAGGAACAGGAGCCATAGAGAATGATAAGAGCCTTTCCAGGGAGTAGGAGGCTGAGGGGAGGGGCAGTGAGGTGACCAGGAGATCACGCTAAATGTCCTCCCTGTGTAGGATGCAGCTGGGGCTGGAGCCAGATCTGGCTATCGTGGTCGCCGTTCCCCACATACCCCCCATGAACGCTTCGAGGGGCTCACTGTGCTAAAGGCTGTGCAGGTAAGAGCAGGCACCCAGGGTGTGGCTGGCACCCAGAACTGGAGAAGAAGATGTGCAGGAGGCTGGCCCCAGGGCCTGGCATCTGTGGAGGAAGTTTTCTGGGACTGCGACTGCCTGAGTCCTAGGCCTAGGGTTGAGAAAGGGGGTGTTTTAAGACCTAGGGCCTGAGTTATTTTCATGGAGTGTTAGAAGGAGCAGTTGGGTTGAGGGACAGAGCTGGTTGCTGAAGATTCCAAATCCACGGGTGGAGAGTGGCAGAAGTGGGGCAGGGGCTCAGGCTGGGGTCACCCTTCCATTGCTTTCCTCCTTTCCTACCATTCCTTTCACGGCCGGCAGCTGGCCCGGGCTGGGACGATAGGCAGTCAGGGCGCAAAGCTGCTTCTGGAGGTGAGCGAGCGTGTGCGAACCGTGACACAGGCTTACTTCTCCCCTGAACGGCCCTTGCATCTTTCCTTCACCCACCTGGTATGCCGTAGTGCCATAGAAGGTAACTGCCAGGGACCCCAGCTGCTTCTTCCCACCCTTGGGCACCCATCGGGCCCTACACACCCTTGGCTACCCCTAGCTTATGTGAATTTTGAAAAAGACCCCTCTCCCTTGCCCGGATCAGAGCCTGGCTTTTCTACCCAGCTGTGACCCCAGGAACTTCAGGGTGGATTGTGGGTGTTGTGAGCCCAGGGCGGGCAGATGGGCATTGGGGCACAGAAACATACACCAGACCCATTTGTGCCTTAGGAGAGCAAGAGCAGCGCATGGACTTGAGTCACCCAGTGCATGCAGACAACTGTGTCCTGGACCCTGATACCGGAGAGTGCTGGCGGGAGCCCCCAGCCTATACCTATCGAGACTATAGGTGGGTGGCCCCTCCAGGACCTTTGTTAGGCATGTGGGCAGACAAAGATCATCCTCCAGCAGGCCTTGGCTGAGGCTGAGTCTCATTGCCTCCTGTCCTCTTCCCTCCCCAGTGGACTCCTCTACCTCAATGATGACTTCCAGGGCGGGGACCTGTTCTTCACAGAGCCCAACGCCCTCACTGTCACGGTACATGAAGTGGGGTGCGGGTTACAGGGGTGTGACAGAGGGCCCAGCTGTGGGGTGAGGATTCAAAACCAAAGGTTACCAGATGCAAATGCAGGGAAATGGCTAGGGCCAACTTGACCCTTTTCCTGACCTACCTCTCCCATTCACATCCTTGCCACTTGTTCATGTCCAGCCTAGCAGAGATTGATTTAGCCTCCCCAGCAAGTGATCTCTAGATGGCACCTCCAGAACCTGCCTTTCGTATGGGGCTCATCTCCTAATGGACAATGAGTATAGTACAGTCTGCAGGGTCCCTCTAGGGTCCTAGGACCTGCGGGTTTGGGAAACTTGAAATAGTTCTTCCCCCCAGCAAGACGAGCACAGAGGCTAGCAGCACAGATGCTAGGGCCATCTAGACTTGAGCTCAGATTTTGGGTCTTAACCTTTCTGAGGTTTAGTTTCCTACAGGGAGGTGATGATTATAGTACCTATTTTAAGAAATTATTATAAGAAGTAATTTAGATAATGTACCTAAAAGAATGAGGCAGTGCCTGGTAATAATGAATAATTAATCAATGTTAGATGGTGTTTTCCCCCCCATTTCTGGCTCATGGAAATTTCTAGGTATCTACCAGGGGCAAGAATTGGGCAGGCAGGCTGCCTTGGTGCCTGTAGCTCAGTGGCTAGGGCGCCAACCACATACACTGGAGCTGGCAAGTTCGAATCCAGCCCTGGCCTGCCAAACAACAATGACAACTACATCCAAAAAATAGCCAGGCGTTGTGGCGGGTGCCTGTAGTCCTAGCTACTTGGGAGGCTGAGGCAAGAGAATTGCTTAAGCCCAAGAGTTTAAGATTGCTGTGAGCTGTGACACCACAGCACTGTACCCAGGGCGACAGCTTGAGATTGTCTAAAAAAAAAAAAAAAAAAAGAATTGGGCAGGCAGAGAGAAACAGTGATTTTTCATTCTGACCCAGTCATCTTCCCTACTTCCCTTTGATGATCCAGGCCTTCTTTTTGGATGGGAAAATGCCTCCAAGATCCTTATCCCTTTCTACTCAGAGTGTGGTACTCCACTTATACCCCCAGATATAAGTCACACCCTAGCTTCAAAGGTCTGGACAGGAAAAATCAGGCCACTGGGGATAGGGAACTAGCAGGAGAGCTTGGGTGGAGGCCTCTTCTCCCTTTGGCTTTCAAATTTAGCTTTTTTCCCCAAGTTGAGGCCAATTTCCCATTTGCCACATGCTAGTTCCTGAATCAAAGAACTGATCATGTCTGTGTCCCCTACCCCATTCCACTTTCAGGAATGAGGGCCATGTTCTCTGAGCAGGCTGATCCCTATAGCTGAACTTGCCCTCATCCCCAGGCCCAGGTGCGTCCTCGCTGTGGACGCCTCGTGGCTTTTAGTTCCGGTGGGGAAAATCCCCATGGTGTGTGGGCTGTGACACGGGGACGGCGCTGCGCCCTGGCACTGTGGCACACATGGGCCCCTGAGCACAGGGAGCAGGTAAGGATAAATAGGGAAAGAAGGGATGTGGCTGTCCTGGTGTGTAAAGGGTGGGCAGGTCACCATGGAGGAAGCTCACATGGTAGGGGATGAAGGGCTGGGGCTGAGATGGCCCAGAGAAGGTGGATACAGGGGATGGGGCCAGACTTTGTGCACTCCTCCCCCCCAGGAGTGGACAGAAGCCAAAGAGCTACTGCGAGAGTCAGAGGAAGAAGAGGAATCAGAGGAAGAGGAAGAGGAAGAAATGCCCAGCAGAGATCCTTCCCCAGAACCCCCAAGCCATAGGCTTCATCGAGTCCAAGACAAGACTGGAAAGCCAGCTCGGATCCGGGAGGAGCTATGAATGGCTGACCCAGCTTCTTGAAGATGTGGCCACTTGACTTGTGAAATGCCACCCTGATGCCAGGACCTATAAGAAGTCCCCATGTGTTAGGCATTATGGTGGGTGCCTGTAGTCCCAGCTACTTGGGAAGCTGAGGGAAGAGAATTGCTTAAGCCCAAGAGCTTGAGGCTGCTGTGAGCTATGATGCTGCAGCACTCTACTGAGGGTGACATAGTGACACTCTGTCTCAAAAAAAAGAAGACGTTTCTATGTGACATCCGGAGCAGAATGGCAAGCTCTCTGTCTTTAAATCCCACCATTCTTGGACTCAGAGGATACTGCATAAGATAGCCTAGAGCAGTGGTTCTCAACTTTCCTAATGCCATGATCCTTTAATACAGTTCTTCATGTTGTGGTGACCCCCAACCATAAAATTTTTTTCATACACCTGTATTTTTATGGGGTACATGTGATGGTTTTAGGCGACCCCTGCAAAAGGATCGTTCCACCCCCAAAGGGGTCGTGACCCACAGGTTGAGAACTGCTGGCCTAGAGCTTCCAGTCTCAAGCTGATGGACCCACAACCCCCAGACAAAACACTGTGCCTTCCTAAAAAGAAATGGCAGGGTTGGGGGGCTGATGCTTTAAATTAGGAGAATGAGCAGGAAGGCCTACTGCCTTCCCCCAGCCTGTGTAATAAAGATTGTGAAGATTACTTAGCCAGGAGCCAGTTGAGTGTATCACAGTTTTTACGGTGACTGGAGGTGTGGAGGAGGCTGTGACTGGCTTGGGAGGAGACGGGTGTCTTTGGGCCTCCCAGAGGCAGTGCCACTGGAGCCTGTGATTTGTCAGGGAAATCTCAGTCACCTGCTTCCGTCATGCAAATGGGCCCAAGCCCTGACAGCTGCCTCTTAGGCCTCCAACTCTTGTGCCCTGTCTTCCTTCTCTGAGCCTAGCTAAGATTTAGGGTAGACTGACCCCTTCTGGCTCCTGCTCCCACAGTCCCAGCCCCATGAGTCCTAAGGGCAAAGGGAGGCCCAGACCCCCATCTGGGAGCAGGGGATAGGGTTGTCCTCCACTTTCCATCCTTTTTCTTCTCCAAATGGGCAGGCCTGTGCATTCTTTGCAGTGGATCCCCTGTGCCTCTCTCCCACCCAGGATCAGGCCCAGGGGCAGCTGGTTGGGGTTTGTCAAGAAGAAGGATTATCCAGATCAGTCCCTTCTAATCTCAGCTCCTGCCTGTACCCTCCCATGTTCATCATAACCCTCTTCCCCCACCTCCCTGCACTAAGGAACACAATCTGAGGTATTGATATTGGGACCATCTATCACCCTCGTATCCTGGCTCCTGGACTGTTGCTAATTGGGCCCTGATTGTCAAGATTATCACGATTGGTGGGGGCCAGGGCTGAGGGGCCACCAGAGCTGTGGTTGCTGCTGCTCCTTTGCACCCCTCCCAAACCCCAACCCTTAATCCTCACAGCTTTGCTCTAATCCCATGGAGCCTGATGCTCTTATCTCTGCCTGCAGAGAGACTGACCAGGGAAGCACCTCTTCAGCCCCTCCTCCCTCAGGGCTTGTGGTGGGCACTGCTCCCCTCTAGGCCCCACACTCCTGCTCCCACCTCTCCTCCAGACTGGGCCAAGTCTCTCTGGAAGCCACATATCTTGCTCTCTCCCTGTCCTCTCCCCTCAACCCCTGCCAGCTGATTTCATTTGCCTGAGTCTGGTTGGCCCTACCCTTCTCTGTCAGGCTCCCCCCACCCCCCCACCCCCCCGCCAGTCGGGGCCAGGCCAGGCCAGCTCTTCTGGCAGCACAGCCTGGGCAGGTGACGGGCGTCGTAGCCGAGGGAGTGAGGAGGCGCCTGGGAACTGAAGCCGGAAACCTGGGCGAGGTCCAGCCAGAGCCCAAGTAAGAGGGAGCTGGCCTGGGCTCTGCTCTCTGGGGCTGGGGGCTGCAAGGAGGGCTCAGGCAGGGCTAAGGCTGGATGCACAGGAATCCTGACTTGGAAGGCCTAGCCGGGGAGGTGGTGCAGGCCTCCAGCCATTTCCCTATTTCTTGGAGTGGGCTCTGGCCCTTAGGAGTCTGGTGCGGGATGTGAGGAACAGCAAAGTGGCCCAGTGAGCATTCCCCAACATCTACCTCCTGTTCCTGGCAGAAGCCGGAGCTACCCCTCAACCTGTCAGCCATGGGGGAGATGGAGCAGCTGCGGCAGGAAGCAGAGCAGCTCAAGAAGCAGATTGCTGTAACCCCGGAACCCTCCCTCTGGGGACCTCAGCAAACAGAACTGGGGACATGAGAGAATGTGGCCTGGGGGGAGGGGGCTGGGTTCACTCTTGAATGATACCTTAGAGACCTGTCACCTAGAAGTGAGTAGAGACTTTCTGAACTTGGCTTTCATACTTGAGGCCACCTAAACCTCAGAGCCCCACAACCACCCCCTGAGAGGTCTACGCACCCGTCACCCCCACCACGTCCTTGCCCTCCCCTGATGTCTGTTTTCCCCACAGGATGCCAGGAAAGCCTGTGCTGACATGACTCTGGCAGAGGTGAGACCTCCTGTTCTTCTCAGGGCAGGGTTTGAGGGGAGGAGATGGGAGCTCTCTGACCAGCAACAGCCTGGTACCCTGAGCTTTAGCACAGAATGTTCTTAGAGTGAGCAAAGGCATTAATTAATTCATCAGCAAACATTTAGTGAGAGGTGCTTTTGGTAGACGTATTGGATGCTAAAGATACAGACATTGTTCCTATTTTTTTTTTTTTTTTTTTGCAGTTTTTGGCTGGGGCTGGGTTTGAACCTGCCACCTCCAGCATATGGGGCCAGCACCCTTCTCCTTTGAGCCACAAGCACCGCCCCCTATTCTTATCTATAAAACAGGAGTGATTACACCCCCTCATAGGGTCATTAGGATGAAAAGAAAGATGGTACTTTATAAATCATAAAGCCCTTGTAGACTCAAGTTGCTAGTTGTCTGTATTGTATCCAAAGATGCTCATTTCTACACATGTTGACATCTCTAGAATCAAGAAGTATCTAACCATAAATGATGCTTTATGACAATTATAATCAGCAGCATTTTTTCTTAGTAATATATACAATAATTGTGCTTCTTAGAGTTGATGGTATCTTGGATTGGATTAAATATGTTAATAATTAAGAGTAAATACCATGAGCCAGACACTGGGCTAAGTTGCTTAAGTACATAATTTCACTTAATTTTCATGACAACTCTGTAAGGTAGGTTCTATGATAAGCTTCATTTTCCACCTTGAGGAAACAGGCTCAGAGAGATTAAGTAACTTGTCTAGGATAACAGAGTAATGACAAATCAAGTCTGTTGACTCTGGAGCCCTAGCCTAAGTCCAGAAGCTAGTTAGAGTTCAAAAGGCATAAGGCCACAAATTGCAAGAGGTGAAGTTCAGGGTCATGATGATGCCCTGGTACCCAGGTAAAGAGCTGGCCACGCTGCCCCAGTTTGGGAGAGCCAGCTGTCTGTATCTTGTCCAAAGTCTGTTTCCAGTGGCTTCACACTGGCACACTGGCAACTTGAAATTGGCCCAGGTCGGAGAATTTACATTATGGAAATTACCTTCCCCATCCACACTAGAAGGGCATTTGTTAAACAGTTAGCAACAACACACTCCTGGCCACGCACGATTTGTCTCCCACATCAGTCTAAGCCAGTCAAGGGCAGGGACTTATTTCTTTAAGGCTGGGGCCCTAACCTAGAGCCTGGCACAGAGCAGGAACTTGTATCAATCAGTGGCTATGACAGACATTTGGGCACATACCTTGCTCACACCAGTATTTTTTTTTCCCTTTTATTTTGAAACAGTCTTGCTCTGTTGCTTGGGCTAGAGTGCCAAGGCATCAGCCTAGCTCACAGCAACTTCAAACTCCTGGGTTCAAGTGATTCTCCTGTTTCAGCCTCCTGAAGAGCTGAGACTGCAGGCACCCACTACAACAGCTGGCTAATTTTTCTATTTTAATTAAAGACAGGGTCTTGCTCTTGCTCAGGCTGGTCTCAAACTCCTGAGCTCAAAAGATCCTTTCACCTCACCTATGCCAGAGTGTTAGGATTGCAGGCGTGAGCCACTGCACCCTGCCTCATTCCTGTATCTAATGCCCCTCTCTCTGTAGCTGGTGTCTGGCCTAGAAGTGGTGGGACGAGTACAGATGCGGACACGGCGGACATTAAGGGGACACTTGGCCAAGATCTATGCCATGCACTGGGCCACTGATTCCAAGTGAGGCTTGAGAAGGGCCCAGAGGGGAGGGAGAGGAAGGGTGGAGAGGTTTATATGACAGGGTGCTCTCTCCTCAGGCTGCTGGTAAGTGCCTCGCAAGATGGGAAGCTGATCGTGTGGGACACCTATACCACCAACAAGGTACCAGCCCTGCCTCCCCTACCCTGCACCACCGAATCCTTCCTGGAACTCTCCTCTACCCCTGCCCATCTGGAAGTTCCCCTCAGTCCTGCCTCTGCCCAAACCTCCTCCCTTCAGGTACACGCCATCCCACTGCGCTCCTCCTGGGTCATGACCTGTGCCTACGCCCCGTCAGGGAACTTTGTGGCATGTGGGGGGCTGGACAACATGTGTTCCATCTATAGCCTCAAATCCCGTGAGGGCAATGTCAAGGTCAGCCGGGAGCTCTCTGCTCACACAGGTCAGTGGGAGCCTTTCTCTTCTTGTCCTGAGGGGTCCAGGGATGCCCAGGCTCCAGAGGATTCTGGCTCTGTAGCTAAGGCACTGCCCTCCTAACCACCTCCAGGTTATCTCTCCTGCTGCCGCTTCCTGGATGACAACAACATTGTGACCAGCTCCGGGGACACCACGTGGTGAGGGCTGAATGCTGCGGGTGCTGGGGTTCTGAGGTAACGCTATCCTGGGCATGTGGGCTTCCTTTGTGACGG